GCTGCAGCTGCTGAGCCGCTCTGAGATCACAGCTAGCTTGGCCAGGAACTTGAGCTGCTCCTCTGATCTCCGGAGGCTGAGCTGGATGTGACCCTGCCTCAGCCTGGTTCGTGGAAGCCATATTTTGGGGTCTGCAGGCAAGCTGTGAGAGTTGGACGTGGTTCTGTGTTCCTGGTGTTCGTTCGCCTGCCAGGCCCCTCGCAGCCCCTGTGAGGGGCCTGGGACAGCAGAGAGTGGGGTCTGTCCTCTCGGAGCCCTGCCAGGGGCTGAGTGCAGCAGAGAGGGGGGAAACCAAAATAAATTGGATTTTTGCCTATTGGATGCAGCAGGAGCAGGGAAGGAAATGAAACTTTCATTTTACTGTTTAATTTTTAGACGGAGACCACGGTTAGAGAGGCAAACCCACTGGCAGGAAATTCCAGGATATTTGGTGTTACAGGGAGTGATTCAGCAATGGGGAAAAATGTGGAGAAATGTCACACAGAGCTTCCCAAGGAAAGGCAGCAGTTCCAGAACTGGCCAAGAGATACTCACAGAAATGTTCTGCATGTGCAAACTGAGTTCAGAGCTGATGTTCAGTGGGAGGTGCCCCTGCACATGGCAGGCGTTGGGATGAGATGGGCTTTAAGGTCCCTTCCAGCCCAAAGCTTTCCATGAGTCCAGCATTCCAAGTCCCAGCTGCCACAAAGCCAGGGGTGACTCCTTTGGTCACAGTTCCCTGTCTCCCACCTGTGAGCAGGGAAGAGGGAAGGCTCATCCACTGCACTCCCAGGAAATGTTTTGCAGCATTTCCCTGCTCCCAGGAGGCTCAGACAGTCCTGAATCCCCCAAGAACCCTTGGATTCTCCCAGCACACACGGGAGCTGGGACTTTAAGAGCTGTTCCTAATATTGTGAGTCTTGCAATCAAGTTGGAAGGGTTGGAAACACTTGTGCTCTATAAATAGCTGCTCTGTGGAGCCATATGCAGCTCCTGTGTTTGAAACCTCGGGAGACACGGAGAAGGCAGTCCTGGGAAGTGTGAGCTGCTCATTAGTGTGGGAGCTGAGGGGAATCAGAATTCCTTGTGCATTCCCCACCCAGCCGCTCTGCTCCCACCTGGAGGCTCCTCCCCTGCTGTGGGGACACCAGGTACCTGTGGCAGCTTCCAGTGGGAAAAGCAGTGGGAAAACACAACCCTTTTTCCCTGCTTTGTGTATTTAATGAGAAGAAAATACTCCAAAATGCCTTGCAAAGCCAGAAGGCAAAGGTGGGCCCCTCTGACCATCCCAGGTATAAATTGGCCTTTGTCCTTATTTGTCCTTAACAGGGATTTTCTTTTAAAATGGGGAGTGTTCTCCCTCAGAAAAGAGTGATGGAATTGAATAACGTGGATGAGCACAGGGCATGTTGGCTCCCCGAGGTCAGAGCATCTCTGACTGTCTCTGGAGCTGCAGCAGAAAGAGCTGGGCCCAGAGGACATCGGCCCTCTGTGGACAAGGAGAAAATATGATCCAAAGGCTGCTCAGTGCTGCTGTTCTGGTTAGGATGTGGGTGGAATCATAGAATCATAAACTCAGGGGATGGGGCAGCCACAGCTTCTATGGGAAACCTGTGCCAGGGCCTCACCACCTTCCCAGCCAGGAATTCCTTCCCAACATCCCGTCTGGTGGTGGGAAGCCATTCCCTGTGTCCTGTCACTCCCAGGCCCTTGTCCCAACTCCCTCCCCAGTGCTCCTGGAGCTGCTTTGGGCCCTGGAAGGGGCTCTGAGTCTCCCTAGAGCCTCCTCCTCTGCAGCTGAACCCCCCCAGCTCCCCCAGCCTGTGTGTCTGGGTAACATCATTCCTGCAGACATCTCCAAACCTCTTCCCTTTGGAAGCTGCTTGGAGCTCCTTGGGGAGAGCTGCCCTGGGAGCTGTGTGAGAGCCCAGCTCACCCCGTGGAGCAGAACGTGCTCTGGGATGACCTAGAAATGCCTCCTGCTGGTGAAGAGCACGTCCTCGTGTGTGCCCTCGGTTACATCTCACTGGTGCAGCGAGCAGAGAATCCTGGAATTGAGAAGTTGGGCCTTTAAAAGCCAATTTCTGCGTGCGTTTAACCATAAAAGCAACATCTGCTCTGCTAAATGCAGGTGTTTTATATCCCTGTCATTAATTGGAGGGGACATTATGTCAGCCTACATCAACAGGGAAAGTTGGGGAAAGTGCCACTTATCTCTGGCGCTGTCATTAATCAGCTCCTTTCATCGGGGTGCCCCCGCTGCCGCTGTCTGGGGCTCTGTCAGACCCTCTTGGTGCTTTCCTTCTCTTTTTTGGGCACTCTGGGATTACAGGTGTGGAATTCTGACACACACAATGGTCACCAAGGGGGATGCTCACCAGGCAAACCCCCCTCAGTTTGTGGAATACGGATCGTGGGATCCAGCCAGGGACTCCACAGGAGCAATCTGGGACATGGAGACCATGGAACAGTTTGGGTTGGAAGGGATTTTAGAGATCATCTCACTCCAACCCTCTGCCATGGGCAGGGATACCTGCCATAGCCCAGGTTATTCCAGCCTGGCCTTGGACACCCCAGGGATGGGGCAGCCACAGCTTCTCTGGGCAGCCCTTGCCCCCCTGGAAGAGGCTGTGCCCTGGCACCTCGTGGGGTGCCCAGGGAACCCCTCATTTCCCTGGACATTGGAGCAGGAGGAGGAGGAGCAGCCGTGCCCAGCGAGAGTCCCCCCCTGCACCAGGGCCATCCCCGACAGGCCCCAGGCAAACAGCCCTGAGCTGATGGGAACTGAGTCAAACAAATTGAGTGTGACAGAAAAAAAGTGACGTCTTCAATGGATTTGCTTCCCGAGAATTACACCAAGTCAAGTATCTTATTAAGTTCAAGAGAATTACATTTTCCATGCTCCAGCGAGAGACAGGGGCCCTTTAGAAAATAATAATGAACCGCTCTTTTCCCCGCCTTCATTTACATACCTTTGATAAATTACTGTAACCAGATTAGGGAGATAAAATAACTAGTCTATTAATTACAATGATTATTATTTAATAGAAAATGGGATTGTGGGCGCTGCGGATGGGAAAAGGGAAGCTTAGCAATGCATTATATGGATGTGGTGGTTTATCTTTAAGAGTAAGATAAGTGTCCAGCCCTTTCTGCAATCTAAAGAATATGTTCATTACCTGGGCAAGATTTATAAGTATAATTGAGTGTAAGTATAGCGTAAATCAGTCTGTGGACAGTGTAAGTCAGTGTAAGTGTAAGTGTAGTGTAAGTCAGTGTGTGTACAGTGTAAGTACAGTGTAAGTGTAAGTATAGTGTAAGGCAGTGTAAATACAGTGTAAGTCAGTGTGTGTACAGTGTAAGTATAGTAAGTCGGTGTAAGTACAGGGTAAGCTGTCCCAGGAAGGCCTGGCTGTGGCACTCAGTGCTCTGGGCTGGGGAACAAGATGGGCCTCGGGCACAGGGTGGACTCCATGACCTGGGGGTCTTTTCCAACCTCAGTGATTGTGGAATTCCATGATCCTGTGATTCTGTGCTCTCCCATCCATGGGCTGCACGTCCCTTCTTCCCTCCCTCCTGTTGTTCCACCATCAGCAGGACAGGCTTGTTTAAAAGAACTTCTCCCAAATAAGATTTGCCTGGAGCAGAAGGAAAACAATAAAACAGGGAGCAGGAGGTAGCAGTATGTTCTACGGGGTGCCTGGGCCCCTAGGGCCAAGGAGGGACCCAGGGATGGATGTGGGCCCGAGGAGGGATGTGGGCCCGGGGAGGGATGTGGGGAGGGATGTGGGCCCGGGGAGGGATGTGGGGAGGGATGTGGGCACGGGGAGGGATGTGGGGAGGGATGTGGGCACGGGGAGGGGTCGCTGCCGCAGCCGCGGCTCAGGGAGCGTCTCCCGCTCTCGGGCAGAGCCTTTACCTGCCACTGGAAAAGGGAATGAAAGATAAATGGCAACATCTGCGCCCGCACATGCGGTGGTGGCAGGGGAGGCTAAATGCTAAGTAGAGCACGAGACGTGTCTGGCAGAGGCACCTATGCATAAAATGAGCCTCCCCGCGGTGCCCGGGAGCCGTGTCCATCCCCGGCCTCCCGCAGCGCCCGCCCGCTCCCCCGGGAGCCTCCTGGGCCTCCCCACCCCGCGGCCGGCCCGGGTCCCGCTCTCCTGCCCCCCTGCCTGCTGCCAGGGAGCTGTTGTCACCTCTCCCGGAGCGGGGCTCGTGTCTCACATCTCCCGTTCACACTCCCGGCATCCATCATCCTCCGCAGCCCCGCGGCCGGAGCTTCTCCCGGCATCTGTCGGGTCACTGGTGATGTCTCGGCTTTCTTTTTTCTCTTTTTTGGGCAGAACGTGCCCCACGCTGGGAGCGGGGCCTCTGATTTATGACCCCCCGCCGCCCTCGGTGTCTCTCTCTCCAGCAGGTCGGGAAGCTGCTCCCCCAGCCCTTGGGTGAGCTGACGCGGGTGTTCTCAGCTTATCTGTCACATCTGCTTTCGCTCACACATCTGGCAGCAGCAGACAGCCATTCCATCCATTTTCCCAAGTGCTCCTGCCTTGCCTGCCGCCGGAGGAAGGGGGAGGTCAGGCAGGAGCAGCTCCCTGACAGCCCCCGATGGCTCAGTGCGGCCGCCTCACAACATTCATCAGAACTGCCACCAATTAACCCTCTGGCCGCTCTGCCCTGCAGCCCGTGCTGGGACCGGGAGCAGAGCGCCGGGACGCTGGGATAACCACAGCTGGATGGCTGCTGGGATAACCACAGCTGGATGGCTGCTGGATCACTGCTGCCCCCAACACGGGGCCGGTCCTCACAGGAATGCCGAGCTCCCAGCCTGGACACCCTGAGCAGCCCCAGCTCTCCCATTCCAAGCACTGGGGAATGAACACAAGCACCTGTCAGCTCTGATTACCTGGTATTTCCCGCCAGAGACTGGATTCCCTATTAAAGGGAATTCCCTACATCAGGTAATGGAATCACAATTAAATGCTCTGTAGATTATTAAAATACTCTCGTGGCAACGGGGGGAAATAAAGGATAACCCCAGACAGCCCCATCACAGAATGAGCTCATGAGCAGAGTTTTGCTTTGGCTTGTCACTAATTGGAATAACTCCTCTCTCCAGCACTCACCTGCTCTCCCTCTCCCTGGCTGGAGCTGGGCACACTCCAGCTGGGCGCTTGCTTCCATCCTCATCCAGGAAGAGGCTGCAGAAAGGAAAGGATGGTGGCAGGATGGGGCTCCTGATTCTTTTCAGCCTGGAAAAAAAAAAGTACATTTTATTATTTATTTAAAACCGCAGAAATAATATCTATGGACTGAATGAGCTCGGAGTCTGAATTTTCCCTTCCTTACTCATTCCTACATATGTGGAGAGACAGGCAGGATAAACTGGAAAACCATGTGAGAAAGAGCAGAGTAGTCCCTAAGCCCAGCAGGGTTTAATAAGGATGAAGTTAATGCACTTAATAGGTTCTGCAATAGCTGAGCTGAACCCCTGTAATGCGCCATCCCTGCTTATGGATCAAACCAGGAGCCCTGACCCTCTTTCCCACTAAATACATTTCACACACAACTTCCAACCCCAGAAATTCCTTCAAGGAATTGCTGATCAGCGCGACGCCACCAGAAATCAAGAGTAGTGGTGGTTAATAATAAACCAGGCAGCGTGGAAAGAACAGATTGCCTTGGAATTACTGTTTTCCCTGAGATTTGGGGGCTGGGGGGCTGGTTTGGGTTCGTCGCTGTTGTTTTTAGCTGATGGATCCCAGCTGGGACTATAAATTGGTGTGTGTGGAGCTATTTTCCTGCCTGGCTGTGCATCCTTGGGGATGCTTTAGCAGATAACAGCGTTGCTCACAGTCACAGAGTCACACACACAGGAAGTCCTGGCAAAAAGCTTTGTCCGTGTCCTGCTCCCGTGTTAAGGAGAGGTTTTCCACTGGAAAAGTGACACCGGGATCAGCTCTGCTGGCTCCTCATGGTCAAGTTAGAGCAGCTGCATGGGAACCACATCTTTTGCCACCCACAGGGACCCCCCTCCCTGGCTGGGCCCTTTTCCATGGATGCCTCTCAAGCGCAGGACATGACCAGGGCATGGAGGCACCACCTCAGGAATTATGTCACCAACAAAACCTCCTAATGGCAGAATCCCAGAATCCCAGACTGGTTTGGGTGGGAAGAGACCTTAAACCTCCCACTGTCCCAGGCTGCTCCAACCTGGCCCTGGGCACTTCCAGGGGTGGGAAATCCATCACCAAATTCCAACTGCCCAGGGGTGACAGGACTCCTGCAGAGCTCCCAGCAGCCCAGGGCCAGCACCAGCGACAGGAATTTGAGAACTCCAAAAATAGGGATGCAAACTGAGGGCATCCAAGATTTCCTGAGGGTTAAATGAGATAGTTCATCATATAAATCATATATAAAGACAGAACTGCCAGTTCCAGCATTTCCTTGTGGGCAGTAAGGGGTTCCTCTCAGGGGGATGTGATGTAAGAACATCCAGGGACCTCTGCGTTTAAAACAAACAGGAAAAGGGTGGAAATACAGAGGGACAGTGCTGGGAGAGGAGTGTGTGTGTGTGTTAGTTTATACCCCACTTTAACTAACAAGCCATGATCTTCTCCAGAACAGTAGATAAAACAGCAAATGAAATATGGGGCAATAATTGTGACACGGAGGCGAAGTCGCTGCGTTTAATATATTCCTCTTTGCGAGCAGATAGGCCATAACATGACAATAATGAAATATAAATGACCGACATAAAAAAAAAGATAAAATCAGGTAATTACCGAAGCGTCAGTTCTTTACAAAATAATTGGTAATGACCTTTGATAAAGAAATCACTTCTGTGATATTGCTGACAGCACCGTTTCCAGCTCCGGGAACACACAGCAGCTGGCTCGGGATCAGGGAAGGGGCTGCTGGGATGAGCTGGCACCAGGGTACGGGGCATTGGCCACCCCACGCCTGTTTGTGGGGTGAGTGCAGTTGGACCCGAAACCAGCAGGTCCCGGGGATGAGGCTCAGCTCCCTGTGGAGCCTGTGCCAGGGGGGGCTTGGGTTCACTAGGAAAAGGCTCTTGCTGGGCACTGACCAGGCTCCCAGGCTGGCCCCGAGTCCTCCATCGCCACTGCTGGGGCTCAGCCCTGCCTCCACAGCACCGTGCAGAGGGGTGGGATGGCACTGCCACATCCCTGCCCTCCCGGATGATCCCTGGCAGCAGGAGCTCCTGCGGGACCCCCGCTCGCTCCGGGCAGGCTGGAGCACGAGCTCAGATGGAAATGACTTGTGATTGCTCCCAATCTGGCTGAGGCTGCAAACAACAGGCTGCAAATGTCGCAGGCACGCTCCCCCTGTGGATGCTCCCCCCGGAAAAACTTGAGAGAAGTGCAGGCGTGGGGAGGAGATGGCAGGAGCATCCCAAAGGAGCTGCCCTGCACGCAGGAGAGAGACGACCCTGCTGCAGGCAGCCCCCAGCTGCAAAGCTGCTCCCCGGGCCTCATTCCTTCCTGATCGTCTCCACGGGAAAACAAGGGAATAGCTGGAGTGCTCAAGAGGATCAAGAATAGCTCCATCTCAGGAGGAACAAACCACGGAGAGCCCACGTTCCTGTGGCACAGCGAGGGCAGGGGTGAGGCTCAGGGGCCGGGCGATGGGGATCCCTCAGAGGAGCAGGGTGGGGATCACACCCCTCACACAGGGGGAGAGCCACACGAGTATCAGAAAAATCAGGCTCCAACGGGGGTATTTCAGATTTCCCCAGATTAGGAAATGAACCAAAACGACATTATGGAAAGTTTATGCCCGACTTGTGTCCTCTGCCCTGTGCCTCCTCATGGGGATGCCCAGGAGGGCCAGGCTGGGTGGTGAGGCCGCGCTTCCCACCGGGAATCCCAGCAGAGCCGGTTCAGGAGATGGAATTGTGCCACAAGGCTGAGGAACAGCTGCCGAGCGAAGCAGCATGACAAGATCAGCACATTTCCTGGAACAGGGAGGGGGAGCACAAAGAACCCTCCGAATATCCCGGCCTCTGCCGGAGCCGCGTTCCCGGCACCGCATCGCGCGGCTCGACGTGACAAACCTTGCAGCACTCCCACTCCCCTTCCCTTCCCCCAGCCCCAAGGAGGGAGAAAGGATCTTCACACTTTCCCTAATACCAGCTGGTTCATTTATATTGCAGAAGTTTCCCGAGACAGTAAGTGACAGCGATATCCCAAACACGGGCTGAACCCGCCGCGCTCCTGCCGCGCTGGGAAGCAGAACGTTGGCACAGAAGCACCACAGCGGCCCCAGATCCCTGCAGGAACCCTGGAAAACCCACCTGGGCTCCCCCAGCCAGAGGCCACAAGACCCCTGTGGAAGCAGAAGGAGATGAGCTTTAAGGTCCTCTCTAACCCAAACCATTCCACGATTCTCCAGTTTTGGCACTGTAATTACCCCGGAATTCCCTGTCCACAGAGAGGAGCTTTGCCACCTCCGGAGTTTGGGTGGGACCTGCAGCACCCGTGAGCAGCAGAGCGGTGACACCTTGCTGGCACAACAGGACTCGTGGTCCCTCTGTCCCTCCTCTGCCATTTCCATTCCCACATGGATTTCCAGCCTCTGACACCCACAGATTACCAAAACCAGGGGCTGTCTGAGGAAAATTCAGTCTTGGATTCCATGAACAAACAAGCTCCAAGTGCAAAAAGGTGCCCAGACCCACGGGAGGGACCACAGGAGAGGATGGACACTTTAGTGGAAAAAAATCCTGCTGCTAAAAAGATGTGGGGAAAAAATTTCTCTTTCTTTCTTGGAGGGAAGCACCAACCTGCCTTTGGCCCCGTGCAGCTCCTCGGCAGGGAAGCTCCCTATGGAGGATCCCTATGGAGCAGTGCCTGCTTTGTGTCACAGCCTGTGCCTTCCAGAACCAGGCAGGAAAAAGCTCCAGGAAAATCAGGCTTGCAGATGTTTGTGCTCTTCATCTGGTACTCAGAGCTGCTCCCAGCTCTCCACTTCTCCAGGTGAAAGAGAGGGAGCTCAGCTGCTCCAGCAGCTTTTCCTGCGCTGATCCATGGTTATTAATTTCCAAGCTTTACACACAGAGCCATCCCAGAATGTGGCAATTTCCTGGCTAATCTGGAACTGGGTGCAGGTTTGGAGCTGCTGCAGCTGGAGCAGAGTCTGAGCACCAAGCTGGGGCTCTGTGGAGCAGCAGCTCTGGCTTTGCTGGCACCGGGAAGCGCATCCCGGGGACATCGGCACCGGGACCTGTCAGGGAGGGTCTGGAGTGTCATCAGCTGCCTCCATCACCATTCCAATTGTTTTCCCTGCCCCTTGGAAGCCCAGCTGGTTACCACGATGTGCTAATTGCTTTTGTGCAAGTGCTGTCAGTGCTGGGACTGGACTTCCCAGTGCCAGACACGGCGTGCGGGCACATTCCGGAGGTGGGAGTCAGTCCGGATCCGTTGGCACACCGGATGCACAGATCCAGGGCTGCCTCCGGACTCTGGGAATGGCTCTGGAGTGGGTGTTGGGTGTGGCCTTACCAGGTGTCGTGCCGAGGGTGCCCACATCCCATGGTCCGGATACCGGCCCCATTCCCAGGGAATCCCGTCTGGGCAGCAGCACCTCTGGCTCTTGATCCAGGGAAAGGAGAAGACCTGAGTCCTGCATCACCAGAAAACAAAGGAAAACGGGCAAATTAGAGATGCACAAAAACTGTTGTTGGAAAAAACACTTTCTTTAAATACCTTTTTTTTGGTGCAATTTTCAGGATTACGTGGGGGTTTTTAGGGATTTAGGAACACTCCAGCCTTGCACTTCTGCAAACACCCCTCGAAAAACAATCCACCTCCAGAGGGATTAAATGCCCAAACATCACTGCCCATTTTCCCATCCAAAGAATTAATTTTTAATTCTTTTCAGACTTTAAATTTAATTTTTAATTCTTTTCCAACTAAATGCATATTTTTAAGTCTAAAATGCCTTGTTCCAATTCCTACTCGAGCTCTGTCTGGAAATCAGGAAGCTCATGACTTTGTGATCCACCACTCTGAGTGCCTAAAACAGGGAAGGGGAGGAAGGATGGCTCCCATTTCCTTGTTAAAGTGGGGGGAAAAAAGGGAAAACCAGGTGCTTAAAAATTTCCAAGGCGCAAAGTAAATGACAAAACGCAGGAGCGTTTCGTTGTTGGAGTTTGGAATAAAAGGCAGATAATTAGGAAATTGGGAGTCTATTAATTTCCCAAATTTACTCAGGCACGAAGCACTGAGCTATGGTGATATTTGCTTACCTCGTCATTATGCAAAAATATATTAGCTAATTATTTTGACTAATGCAATTAAGATATGCATATTTAGCATAAACTCCACAATAGAAACGTTCCAGTCAGCAGTTGCTGGGTTGCACTCATGGGCAGCGGAGAGGGAAAAGGGAAAAGGCTCCGTGTGGCTCCGATGGCAGACGGGAATATCACTGCTGCCCTGCCCGGCGGTGGGTCTGGCACAGGGAGTGACTCTCCAGCACAGCGAGGTGGCACCGTGGGCACGGGTGTTACCTGGGGAGACAAGACACTCCAGGGTATCAGCCTCCTTGCACAGAGTCCCAGGATGGTTTGGGTTGGAAGGGATTTTGAGGATCATCCCATTCCACCCCCTGCCATGGGCAGGGACACCTCCCACTATCCCAGGTTGTTCCAACCTGCCTTGGACACTCCCAGGGATCCAGGGGCAGCTACAGCTTCTCTGGGCAACCTGTGCCAGAGCCTCACCACACTAAAAGCCAGGAATTTCTTCCCAACAGCCCATCTAACCCTGCCCTCTGGCAGTGGGAAGCCATTCCCTGTGTCCTGTGCCTCCATCCCTTGTCCTAAGTCCCTCTCCAGCTCTCCCTCTGTGCCTGTTTCCCTTCCCTCTTCCAGCTCCGCCAACCTTGGGAGGGAGCCAAGGGCAATCCAGGGATTTTTCAGTACCCAGCAGTCCAGATGTGATGGGTGGGATTGGGGAGTGGGTGTCACGGGCCGTCCCTGAGCCCCGTCCCGAGTGCTGCGGGCAGGAAGGAGGGCCGGGAATGCCGGGAGAGCGCCTGCTGGAAGCCGGGGATGTTTGGGTGCGTCCCCGCGCCGCAGCTCCAGCTCCGGCGGGCACTGGCTGTGCTTCCAGCGGGGCTTGGCGGCTCCCAGGGAGCCATGTGGGCTGTCAAATGGCTTCTGCTGTATTTTGTTGCCCTTTCAAATATTTCTCCGAGAGTGGGATGTACCATCTGGTGGCCAATCTGGCTGTGTCTGGAACAGCGCGGCACCAGCGCGGCGCCCATGGGTGCTCAGCACCA